GCTTGGTTGGGGCAAAGCGCTCAGAAACGGTGAACGCCCGGGGGGGGGGGACCTGGGGCCTCCCCAGAGCCTCAATGAGACTAGGTCTGCATCCCCGAGCCTGCCTGACCCCAAGCGGGCCTCTCGGTCAGAGACTATTTTAAAGCAAGGCACGAGAAAGAAAGAAAAATACGCATGTGTATCCCCCAAAAGGCCCAAGAATTGAGGATCACTCTGACAAAAATAACAAAAGTAATTTAGAAAAACAAAAACCACTAAGATTATTGTGGAGAAATAGAATTAAAATGAGGGAAATTGGAAAAGCGACGCCAGTCCCTGAGGATAGGGGTTGCTCGTCTAGCAAACGCAAGAAAAGTCTCCCTGGTACTTAGACACTCAAGTCTCCAGCAGAAGGGCCAGCCTTTCAGATCCCGATGATGGCGTGCATCGGGATTCTTAGCGGGGAAAGCAGAAACATTTCAGGAAACACACTCTTGGAAAGAGGCCCGAAGCTCTGAGTCACCCTAGGCACTCTCTGGAGTGTCTTTAAGTCCCCAGCTACTCAGATCCCGAATCAGGAGGGCTTGCAGGTGGAGGTGAGGGTAGGAACTGGGAGCTCCAGCTGTGTTTCCTAGACTCCCTCCCCTTCCTTGCGCGGAGCCAGTGCAGACAATGCCGCATCCCGCGTAAAACGAAGACTCCCAAACACCCGAGCTCGCTGGGTCGTGCTTGGCCTGGGGGAGGCGGAGGGAGGAGGCAGGCGCGGCTGCTACAGGCCTCGGAGACAGCACCCCATGAGTTTGGGGGAGGGAAGCTACTGGGAGCTCAGCCTGGAGGACAGAAGGAGAGGGAGAGAAGCGGACGGACAGAAAGATAGAAGCAGAGTGATCCTGAGCTAGCAGAAAGAGAAAACAAAAAGGACAAAAGAGAGAGAGAGGACAGACAAAAAGAGAAACCTAGAGAGAGACGAGAGGGCCTGGCAGTCAGAAATTGGGAGAGGAAGGCGGAGGGAGAGAGGATATGACAAAGAAACTAAAAGCAATAGAGAACGGAACTATATAAACATAAAACTGTAAAAAAGAGGAACAACATATGGTAAAGATAAAGATACAGAAACCAAGAGTAACAGAGAGGAGAAAATAGAGAGCATCGTAGAGAAAGAAACGGAGAGGCCAGAACAAGGACAGGTTTTAAAGACCGAACGCGAGAATGAGAAAAGGAAAAATCAAGGAGGAAGAGGAAATGTTCACAGACGCTTCGACTGTGTGTTATTGTTGGGAGGGACCACCCGCTGCCAACCCGGGGATCCCTAAACTTCCGGCTTTTGAGCCAAAGTAAAGCTGGGTGTTCTAGGCCAAGCCGTTTTCACACCTGAGTTTGGGGCTCTGGGCGTCCCTGGCGCCCCGCCCCCTCCTGTCCAGCAACACCGCAGGGGCTGCAGTGGCGTCACACGACGTCACGCTTCACCTGTGGACCCATGGAACCCAAAAGGGCGCGGGTGTCCTGGGGCTGTCCGCTGCAGTGCTCCCCAGACATCGAGCATTTGGAGACACAGGATGCTCCCCGGCTCTGCGGAGAGCCCACCCGCGATGCGCCCAGATTCCCTACAGCCAGTCGGTGGATCCCGCCCAGAGTGTCTCGGAGGCCTCACTGAAAAAAGAGTGGACAGTGGGTTGTGGGCAGGGGGGGCGGGAGAGTCTCGGCGACCCCAGAAGTTCCAGGTCACCACGCCTCCCACCCCCTCAGTGGGTTTGACCTACGATGGCCTTTCACTCCCCAACTTTGGCGCGGGTCTGCGACCTCTGGGCCTAGAGAGCCCTTCCCACGTGCATCCCATCCCGCGGGTACCCAGACTGTGGGTGGCCGGCACACACTGACCTGCACCGCGGACCCTCCGCGGGCCGGGGCCAGGGCTAGAGCTGAGGCGAATACCATCCGAGCTTGGAGAAGTGGACGCACCCCGCACACAGCGGCTTGGCTTCTACCGCCGTAGGGGTGGGGCGCAGGCTGGGGGACGCTGAGCATTATTGGAACGAAAACGAAATAAAGCGGCGTTAAGTGAAATAGCTAACTTTTTATTAAATAAAACGACTTAAATAAAAGGAACAGAAAAGGAGAGAAGTGGACCCTGCCTAAACGCAGGGTGCGCCAGCCCCTGGCGCTTCCCCCAACCACCTGGTCGGCCGCCCCTCCTCCAGCGGCCCCAGTGGGGAAAGCAGGTGGCCAGTTTCTAAAAAAAAAAAAAAAAAAACCAAAACTTTTATTATTTACACATTTGGGCAAAAGTACAAAGTATAATACAGGCGCCCGGCCCGGGGGAGTGCGGGCGAGGGGCGGAGAAACGTAAGGCGCTTTCTTTGTCAGGCCCGGGCCTGGGGTGGGACCGGGCACGGGGCGGGGGCTCGGATTGTGCAGCCGCGCGGAGCCCGGGCCCAGCCCCCCTCCGCAGCCGGCGGAGAAGCGGCTGCGCCCCAGGGCCTCCTGGAACTTGGCGGCCCCTTCCCCTCTCGGCCTCGGTTACCCCCCAGCCCTGCTGGGGGCCCGGGGCGCCCTGCCGTGTGGGGGCGGCGATCCTCGGCGACCATGCGCGCTGGTGGCTCACACCAGAGAGGTGACGGCGGGGACTTTGGAGCTATCCTCCTCCCAGGGCTGCAGATTCTGCAGAGCAAAGAGCGACGAGTTGTGCAGACAGAGCGGGTCAGGCTGGATGGAGTCGTTGAGGCTCTTCTGGAAGGCGTCGTGTTGCAGCTGCAGCATGAGCCGGCTCGCCTGCTGCCGCTCCGCCTCCCGCTCCTCCGCCGTCTGCCGCCTGCACCGGGGGAGGGAGAGGGACGGCACCGTTATGCACCCGGCGCCGCGGGGCGGCAGGCAGGGCCCCAGCCCTCCCGGGAGCCAAGGCCAGCCAGGAGCCTCGAGGCGCTGAGCCCGTCTGCCTCCCGGTGCTGTGTGTGCGGTAGGCCCGCACATCCCGGGAGTGGGTTGGGTCGCTTGTTTTTGTTGTGCACCAGGCATCCTCTGGGAAGGGCCTCCGCCCGCTGCCCACCTGCACGCCCGGGTATGGTGGCTTTGCCAACAACAAAGATTGTTTCTTTTGCGGGATAGCAAGGGCAGGGCATAGAGACAACTGATTCTGCCCTGCGGGCAGTGGGATCGCTGGGCTCTGCGGGTGGGCGGGCGGGCTCTGCATCGCCCGCGTGGTGTCCCCGGGCGGGGTCAGATTCATCCCGTTCTCCCAGGCCCAGCCTCCAACCCCTCTTTCAGGAGCACTTCGCCGTTCGCGGGTTAGGTTGAAATAGGAATCAGATAGACGCGGGGCTGGAGTCGGGCTGGGGAGCTAGCTGGGCCGAAGCCCGTGTGGATGGTCGGAAATCCGAGAGGGCCAGAGGGAGGGTGGGGGACTGGAGGGGCAGGTGAGAGGAACCCTGGCCAGCGCAAGAGATGTCATAAAACACCGAGAGAGTTGGAGAGGCGCAGAAGAGCGACACGGGGATGGACACGGAGAAGCCGAGGCGCGGGAGAGCGCGGAGACAAACATAGGCGTACGGGGGCCAGAGAAAGGAGATAAAACCTGGGAAGGAGCGGGGGGAGGCACGGCCCTGAGAGCGCGGAGACAAACATAGGCGGACGGGGGTCAGAGAAAGGAGATAAAACCTGGGAAGGAGCAGGGGAGGCACGGCCCTGAGAGCGTGGGTAGGGGTAGCACTGGATGGGCAGCGCACGAGGCTGCGGCGTGGGGCTGGGAAGGGCGGGTGCAAGGTGGGACGGGCCGGGCCTCTCTCACCGCCACTTGGTCCTCCGGTTTTGGAACCAGGTCTTGACCTGCGCGTCCGTCATTTTGAGGGACTTGGCGAGCGCCGCCCTCTCGGCCGAGGCCAGGTACTTCTGGCGGTGAAAGCGCTTTTCCAGCTCGCAGATCTGCACCCGGGAAAAGGATGTGCGCGGCTTCTTACGCTTGGGCGGCGTCCTGTTCTGGTAGGGGTGGCCGATGCGCCTGGTCACCGTGAAGGGCGTGAGCGCCGCCGCCGCTGCGGAGACACAGGAGGCCCCCTGAGGCCCAGCCTGACTCCATTGCCATTCAGGCCCCATGTGGATGGAACCCGTGCCGCCTGGTGGGGCGCAGAGTGCTTCGCTATTTCGTTGGTCCCGCGCATCCCGAGCGGCACCGAGCCACTTGGGAGATGCCCCCCTCTTCCCCGGGCGCAGGTTTATGTCCCCGAAACTTACTGATTTTCCTCCCCCAGCGTTTGCCCGGGGCCCTGAGCGCCGAGGCCTACGCCTCGCTTGGCCCTCCGGAATCGTTTCCCGGAGCGGAGCACGCAGGGCTCGGCGCCTCTGGCCCTGGTAGGGCCGAGGCCCGGCGCCTGTTTGCTCTCCCAGCTCACCTGTAAAGCGGTCTTTGACGAAGCGGCGGCTGCTCTCCATCCAGGGGAAATTGAGGCCGCCCAGGCTGGAGACCGTGGGCACGGAGGGCATGGCGGGCAGCGCGCTCGGCAGAGGCGGCGGCACGGCCCCAGGCAGCGGCCTGTGCGCTGGCACCCGGATCACGCCGGCGGGCGCCAGGCTCAGGTTGACACTGTAAGATCCCGCGTCCTCGAAGGGCGCGCCGAGGCCGGCAAAGGAGGCGGGCAGAGACGGGTAAGTGGCGCCCGGACGGCCCCCCGGGGGCCCTCCCAGGTAGCTGGCGCCGTCGGGGCCCCGCGGGGCTGGTGCGCTGTCCTGGTCCGGGCTGTTGAGGATCTGGTCGATGCCGAAGCTGATGGGCTCGTGAGGGTGTGGGGTCTGCGCGCTGGCGGGCGCCTCCATCCTGGGTGGGCGGAAGGGCTGGGCTGGGCTGGGCGGGGAGGCGGCTGGGTCCCCGTTACGGCGCGGCCATGGAGCGCCCGGCGCCTCTCCTCGCACTGAAACTTTGCCAAGAGTGCGCGGGCCCGACAGGCTCTGTGTCATCTTTCTTGAACCGAACCTGGAGTTTCCGCTGCTAATTCCTCTCCCGCCGCAGCCATTGGCTGCGATCAACAAGCCTCTCTCCTCCCATTGGCTCCCGGCTTTCAATAAAGGCCTAATTCATGGAAATAGGAGCTTAGGGACTGTTCCAAGGTGACATCATTTTAACAAACGAACAATAGGTCAAATTTATTAGCCGGGATAATGGGCGGCGGATATTAGCGCCCGAACCGCAGCCTCCCAAACCCGAAATCTAACGAAGCTGCAATTAGCAGACGCTCCCCGCTCCTGCGGGTCCGGGCCACTTCCCCGTGGCAGAGCGGGGTAGGCCAGGGTTCTTTGCTTCCGAAATTGCCCTTTGCTGAGGGGGTTTTCGTTTTCTTCCAAATTTTCTCATCTGAACAAAAACCAAACCTTATGAATCCTTTCAAATACAAAGGAGTTGTAATCCCGGAACGACCCTGCAGATCCGCGGAAGCGTCTTGGACACTTCACCGCCGCGGAAGCAACGAAAGGGGCGCACCCCAGGGCGTAAGCTTCGCGCTCTCTGCGCGCGGGGTGACGCGAGCACCGCAGCGTGCTCCGCGCGCTCAAGGACATCAACCCGCGTGGGCAGAATTCGCCCGGGCCTGGGCTTCGGCCCCGGCATAGCGGCCACTTTGGAGACACTCCCTGGCTCCCGCCAGGCGGCGGACCGAGGCGTGACTCTCAGGTGCCCACGCGTTCCCGGCCTGGCTGGGCTAGGGACCCGGGGTCGCCCGATGGGGAGCGGGGACCCGGTACCTCGAAATTCGTTGCGGGGTGGACGGGACTGTGGTCGCTCGTGGGGACCCGCCCGTGGCGCGACAGGTGTGAGGACCTGGGGTTCTTAAGGAGCAAGGGCGGGGCGGCTCATATTTAGAGCAAATAGCGGGATTTCTTTGGGTAACGGCAGCAGCGTAACCCTCCCGCTCCAGTGCAGCCTGGGCGCTGGGACCACTCCCTGCTTTGCTCGCGCCCTCGGGGGCTGTCCAGGTGGGCCGAGGGGCGCCGTGGACGGGACCGCACGCGGGGCGGTCACCCCCTGCGCCAGCCTCAGCTGTCTCCCTTGGGGAGAGACATACAGAATCGTTTTCTACGCGCTAGTAAAATCGTTGGGTGCAAACTGCTGCACCCGTGGCCAGGCCTCTCCCTCGCGCTCCCTGTCTTGCGGACGTGGTGAGAAGTCGGATGTGAGGTTGGCCAGAAATTAGTTTAAATTCAGCCCGTCACTTTCTGGCTGAGTGACCTTGAGCAAGTGACTTCATATCTTTTAGGCTTTGGTTTTGATCCGTAGAAAGAGCAATGCGTGCATTGCGGGATTGTCATGAGCCGGGAGGGCCTGGCACAGAGTAGGCACGGAGCCGCCGCAGCTGCCCTCCAACCCTACCCCCTCAGCGTGACGCTTGATGTAGAATTCTTATGATTCTTGTTTGTAGTTTTGTTTTGTTTGTGGAGGCTCGGCCTCTTGGAGAGAAAGCTGTGTTTGTCGTGGGGTCAGTCTCAGAGGACCAGGAAAGGCAGGAGGCAGCATGTTGGGGATTCTTCCTAATAATGTGCCCCCAAAAACAAGAGGTCTCGGGATTTGCAGTCTTAAGGCCTGAGTCCCTGAGTTAGGTCACCGCCGCCGTTGCGTGACCTTGGGCAACCTCATTGTTGGGTGGGGAGAATGAGGCCTCTGGGCAGCGAGGGGTGAGGAGCGCAGGGTGCGGTGGGGTCTGGACAAGCCGTCCTCCGCTCCCTCCAGGGCACAGGGAGCTTCAGATGGAGCAGCGCCTGGGCTGGGGGCCTCCTGCTTCCAATTCGGTCTCTGCCACTGGCGGTCTGGGGGCCGTTTGGTCCCTCACTGCCCCTCCTGCAGTCTCATTTTCCTAATTTGTGAAAGAGAAGGGGTGATAGCCCCCCCCCCAGGGTGGCTGTGGGAAGTAAATGAGATAAAGTGTGTGGAGGCGCCTGTGAGAAGCTATGGCGGTTACATAATAATAACTGTACCGACAGCAGTCGAGCTACTGGAGGTGGAGAACTTGGTGTGTGCCAGGCAGGGGGTGGGCACGTATATACGTGTTCCTCACAACAACCCTGTGAGGAAAGGGCTGTTATTGATCCCATATTTTTACTTGACGAGGGAACTGAGGGTCAGAGAACTCATGCGACTTACAGCCCCCACTCCGGGGTGGCGTCCGTGCCTCTCCACTTCCGCTTCCCTTCTGGCTCCCAGGCCTTTCTGTGCAACTTGGCTCTATTCAATTGGGCTGACGAGGCCCATACCACAGGTATGTGGGCACAGAATTAGGTGTGGGTGGTGTGGCCAACGTTGCTCCCAGGGCGTGGAGAGTGGCCCAGTGCTTAAGAATTGGATTCCCACCTCTGTTCACCAGCTGTGGACTCAGGGAATGATCCGTCCACTTTGTGCCTGTTTCCCCACCTAGTAAAGCAACAGTACTAGTGTCGGGATTCCATGAGCTCTTCCAGACGAAAGCGCTCAGCACAGTGCCTGGCATGGAAAGGGCAGCATCCACCTCGATGCCAGGGCCCAGCTTTCGGAAGACCCTGGACTTCCATCACCCAGCAGTAGGCACTTTGGCCCACTGGTCACAAGCCCCCCGCTTTCCCAGTACAGAGCAGAACTGTCAGGAAGGGCAGTAAATGGGGCAGTCACAGTCCCTGGGACAGTGGTTCTCAAGGTGTGTTCCTGGACCAGCAGTAGCAGCATCACCTGACAAGAATTTGTTAGAAATGCAAATTCTCAAACCCTGGCCCAGACCTAGAGAATCAGAAGTTGGGGAAGGGCTCAGCAGTCTGACTTACCAAGCCCGTCAAGGTGATTCTGATGCCCTCTCACATTTGGAATCCAGTGCCCAGAACAGGGTCCATTTCATCCCAGTTTTCAAATTTATTGTCATAACCCGGTGGCAAGATTCTCTCATCATTTGAAACTCCGATGAGATCTAATACCATCTGCATTTCATTCTCAGTGAACTCAATTGTGCCTTTTGATCATGTTTGCCAAAGTTTTGTCTATTTTATTGGTCTCAAAGAAAATACTTTTATTTCATTATCCTCTTTTTTTATGTCATTTTTCAGAAATGTTTTATTTTTAATTTCTTCTTTGTTGAGGTGAAAATTTAGTTCATTTTTGTCAATCACTGTTTTTGTTTTTTTTTGTTTTCTGTTTTTAAATAAAATGATGTAAGGCCATAAATTTACCTTTACGTATTTTTTTGGCCAAATATGTTTTGGTGCATATTTGGTGTTTCTGAGATGATAATTTTGCTGTTCCTGCTTACCTGCTATCAAATGACACCACACACACACACACACACACACACACACACACACACACACGAAAAATCAAATTCTATGAACTGGGGCGATGGGGCTTTCTCCTGAGTCCAGATGGGTTTGCAGGATACATGGCGTCTTCTGCTCTTCCCCATGGAAAAGTCTGGAGAAAGGATGGAGGTGGTGGAGGCCTTGCTGGGAGGCACATGGGGTGGGGGTGGGGAGGCTTCAGGGCTGAGAGTCAGGATGCTGGAATCTCACAGCGCCCACGTGCAGGAGGCCGGGTGTGTTCAGGCTCACTCGGCCACTGACTTCCTGTAGGAACGGAACTCAGTTTCCCTGTCTGTAAAATGGCATAGACATTGAATCTGGGCTCTTACACGTTTGGGCCAGCAGCCTTATTGGAGAGATTGATGAAAATATTATGGACAGTTTCCACAGAGAAAGACACAAACACATAGCTTGGCACACATGCCATGTCACAGGTTGCTTACCTGCCCTCTCCCCATTCTTTTCTCCTACACCCTAGTTAGGAGGCTCCAGGGGCCCTTCTAGTTCTCATGATGGAAGGCTCTAAAGACACCTAAAATTTATTTACTCATTCATTCATTTAGTCAACAAATATTTACTACTGAGCACCTATTCAAGTTTTCGGGACCATGTCCTAACTTTGGGCCATAGTTTCCCCACCTGATAGTGGGAGTAATGCAGTTTGAGCTCATCATTCCTGCCTTCCCAGATGCGTGGGCTCGAGGAAGACACTTCCTGAGGAGGTGGGAAGGGTCCAAGACTCTGCCAGCTGGAGGAAGGCAAAGGCCACCTGCTGCCGTGTGCATCTCAGGATCCCTAGCACAAGTCAGGACTCCTAGCACAGGGTGGCTTAGGGAAGTGACATCTGGCGCTGAGGGGCATGCGGTCGGGAGGCTGACGCTGGGACTCGAAGCCGCTGGGACTGTCTTGGCTACAAAGCCCATGCTTTTCTCTCTACGTCACACCCCCATTTTTACTCTGGAAGCCCACAGTAAGGATTCTCAGTCCCAGGACTGAGTGGAAGGGGAGTCAGTGGCAGGTCTGGGTGAAGGAGCCCAGGACTGGCGATGAGGGCTGGCCACCGTGGGGCTCCCTTCTGTCTCCCCACTGGCCCCGGAGCTCCCTCAGGCAGAACAGCGCCGGCAGCGTTCGATTCCATGTCCTGGGGCTGGGCCCAGAGCCGGGCCCACTGGAGTACTGCCAAGAGTCTGAGGGATTCGGGCAGCCGGTTAGCTCAGTTGGTTAGAGCGCAGCGTTCATCACACCAAGGTTGCCGGTTCGATCCCCACATGGGCCACTGAGCTGCGCTCTTTACAACTAGATTAAAACAGCTACTCGACTTGGAGCTGATGGGTCCTGGAAAAACACACTGATCCCCAATAAAATAAAATAAAAAAAAGAGTCTGAGGGAGTCAACTGAAGAGCACACAGCAAGGCCAGACGAGGGGGTAAGGAAACGGGGCGAGAAGGGCGTCTGGGAATTTGCCTGCTCAGTTCAGCACTCACCCCCCAGGCTCTTTCCAGCCTTTAAGACCCAGGGCAGCTATGGCCTCTCTGCCCATCCTCCTGAGCACGTCTCCCCATCCTTCTCTGTCCCTGCTGGTTTTCATCGTTGCGCTCGTTGCCTTCGGAACCGAGATCCTACTCACCCTGCTCACCAGCTGTCTGAGGACAGAGACTGTCTCATTCACTGCTATCCCTGTGGTAGGTGAATGAATGAATGAACAAATGATGTCCAGGATCTTTGTGCTGAATCAGACCCAGGCCCTGGCCTTGAGGAGGGTGCAGTCTGGCAGGGAGGCTGGCCGTGGCCTGACGAAGCTGGCCATGGGGCTGGCGGTTGGTTAGAAGACGGGGTAAGAACGGAAGCAGGCGGGGCAGAGAGATTCCTTTCTCCAGGGACAGGGCTGGTGGGCAGGCACCCCGGGCAGGCGCAGGCGCTCCGGGCAGGCGCAGGCGCTGGCCTTCTGGGGGGGCCTCCAACCTCACCTTACACCCTGCTGTTTGCTTCCACCACCCGGCAGCCATTTTTCCCATTTTGTGCTCTACAACTTTCCTCTCTTCCTGACAGATTTCTCTACTAAATTTGACTTCGTTTCAACACTTTTGTTGAGCAAATTACATTAAGATGGATGTTGCAGGTACCCTTTATGGTTTATTTATCGTGATACTGTTTGTATCTCACGCTTATAAATAACTTATGTTATAGCTTTTGTTTGTGGAAATGTAACTTACATATTTTATTACGTTTTCTGTAAACCTCAAAAAGAATCTTGTCAAGGAAGCGCTCTTATCAGCAATCCAAACTGTGGGACGTAAAAACCGACACTAACATTATTTTTTAATATGCCAAGGAGGCAGGTTACTCTTGCTGTAGTTTGAAAGGTTTGCTGTCATCGTAAACTTGCACCTCAATAAAACATTAAAAAGTCTCAAGAATGATTTTATAAAGTTCACGGAGGAGGAAGAGCCGGTGGCAGAACCCACAGACAACACTGGGGCCCAGGCACTGGACTGGCCTTTCTTTGGGAGGGCCCAGCCCAGCCCCCTCTGGGGATCCCAGAGGTTTCCAGGTGGACCTCCCCTGCCCAACTGTCCCCAGAGTCTGGCTGTGAGGAACTAGCTGAAGGAATTAAGGTGGAAAAGAAACACGAGTTTTGGAGTCAGGCTGACCTGACTTGGCCTGTGGCTTTGGGTCCGACTTTTAGTCTCAGTTTTCTGCTCTCGAAAATGGGGATAATAATACTTACTTGACATTTTTTATTGGGAAGCATTACATTTAAATAAGATGGCAATTTGCAGTGCTAGGTGGGTGTGCTCAATAAATGATAAATAAGTAGAAACTTATTTAATGCTCGTCTTGAAACTTTCACTTTCCCCCTTTTAGTCTCCCTGCTCTCAGGTGTGCATTTCCTTCCTCGCCATCAGGGGCCGAGTTCTCTCAAAGGCCACTTCCCCAGACTGCTGGACTGGCCCCATGTAGTGTACATAAGGTTTCCCCGTATTTCAGTTCTTTCCCCAGTTTCTCTCACCAAACCTATCCTGTTCTTTGTTCTCATGCTCGGCTCTCTGCTGGTTGCTGACTTAGTCACTGATCTCAGAGCTCATGGCTACACGCCAGGCCAGTTTTGCCGGCTGGAAGGGACCTCCAGTACTGTCACACGGAGGCACTCCGAGGGAGGCAGGGCCAGTGGAAGGGAGCCCAGTGGACAAGAGGGCTTTCCGGGCTGCTCAAATCATCACTCAGTGCGGGGACCTTGCACTCCTCTGTCCCCTCATCACAGAGGAGCCTGAATACAAAGCGCAGAACAAGGGAAACATCTAGAAAGAATACAGCTTTCTCGGGTCAGATTCTGAAAGTCAGTATAGAAGGCAAAAAGTGAGCAGTCAAAATACCTTCAAAATGTTTCCAGCTTGAGCATCAGCTGACGCAAGGGGCTTGACTCAGAGCCCCACACTGTGTGGACAGTCCGTGTTTGCACAGTGGAATTTCATCAGAAGGGTGCGGCGTGCCCACGGAGACCCACACCTTCCGTTTCATCTTCACTGAGGGTCATACACTTGTTAGGTGGTGGGCCCCGTGGAACTGCCCGCACTACTTATTTCTTCCTGGTGCTGAATGTAAGTTCGATACACCTGTGATCTGATTAGACCTAGAACGGATGCAGCTGGTGCTCTTTCGGGCGGGCTCGGCAAGCCTGAGTGTGCCTCCAAGTGCTTGTTTTATCCTTGGGATAGGATGTCTCAACAGAGAACTGCCACAGGGGCCTTCAGGTTCTCCCCAGGAGTCGCCACTGTCCCTTACCGAGGCAGACACCGGCAGGCTGCGTGGTGGGACGGCACAGCTCCAAATCGGGTTCCCATGGGCCGGGGGATGAGTACACAGTGTAATGTGTTCCCAAAACACCCCAGCTTCCCAACTCCCTTTCCCTTGCTTAGAAAGGGCACAGAATGGAACTGAGCCCTCTGAGGAAACTCAGGGTTCCCTTCCAGGTTTCAAGGGAGAAACCTGTAGCCAGACTCGGCCTCTCCAGTGCAGGCCAGCTGTGAGTCGGGGCAGGCAGCTTTGAAAATGGGCCCTGGTGGCCCCTGCCTCCTGGTCCCCACGCCCTGTGTACCCTCTCTACTTGGGTGTGAGCTGCCCTAGTGATTTACTTTCAGGGAACAGAACGCAGCAAAAGCGACGGACACCCCTCCTGAGGCTGGGTTAGAAGAGGCTGTGACTCCAGCTTGCTGCTCTCTCAGGCTCTTCTCTTTTACTTATTCTGATGCAGCCAGGCGCCACATTACGAGCTGCCCTATGAAGAGGCCTGTGTGGCAAGGAGCTGAGGGTCTCAGCCCGCCAATCCGTGAGGAGCGGAGTCTGCTAACCACCACGAAGGACTGTAGGAGCGGAGCCTCCCCAGGAAGCCATGTGACGATGGCTTCTGAAAAACAACTGGAACTAGATCTAAATATTAACTATTTCAACTCACCATGCTCAAATATGTCTTCCTTGGAAGAGACCACGAATTCCTTTGAGGTGAGACACACCTGGGTTCAGATCCTGCCTGGGTGACCTGTGTAAGCTGTGTACCATCTTTGAGCCTTAGTTTCCTCATCTCAGAAGTGGGAATACTGCTGTCTACCTCCCTGGGGCTGTTGTGAGGACTGAGGGAGGTGACACATGTAACGGGCACAGCAGAGGCTCAGCACGTGCTTGCTGAGTCCATCCTCCCGCCCGTGCTTGCGGCCCTGACGAGCAGGCCCTGCAGAAGTCAGCAGTGGGGCAGGCCTAACGAGTCCTCGGAGTGGGGCTCGCCAAGGCCAAGGCCAGGAGCCTTCCCTGGCTGGGGTGAAACCACCAGGTGACCTTGGGCAGTGAGGCAAAGAAAAGCAAGTGCACACTGTTATTTTCTTGTGAGCATTTTACTGCAAATAACACAGTGCTTTTAGGTCCTAGACTTTTATAAAGAAAACAGTGCCAGACTGGGATGAGCCTTCTGTGAAGCATTTCTGTGGGGTGGGTGTGCTGTAATAAGCCCCTGAGAAATAGAACTTCTCAAGTCAGACTTCTCCAAACAGTTGACGTTTTATGAAGTTCAGAATTTGCCTTCTCCAGGAAAGTTATATTTTTCACTGCTACTGAAACACAGTGTGAGGCCAAGGTTTACTGATCCATGAAGAACCACAAGTAACCCTATCACGCCACACTTTCCCCTGGTTTCCTGGGTTCACACGTGGACGACAAACATTTTGAGATAAACTTGGGACTCTGCCTTCAAGTGAAAAGTCTGTTATAAAACCCCACTGTCAAGAAAGGTTTCAAGAAACACTAGTCTGAGGAACGAGATTCTAATAGGAACCTCTGGATTTACTTCTTCCACAGTAAGGCCAGCCTCTCATGGCTTATCAGAAATAAAAGGCACAATATTTATTACAAGCCTGAACCATGAAGACAGAGCAGTGAGATACAAGAGCCATTCGAGAGTGGCGATCTCCAAATTAATAGCCTAGTTAGAGTCCCTCACGAACTGCGAAGGCCGGCTTCGTGCCCTGGGTGTGGGTTCAGTTGCAATCCCCTTATGTTAATAGGAGGTTCTATGGCGGGAGTGAAGCCAGCTGTTTCTCACCGTCTGAAAATATGAACTTTTAGTACCTGGCACTGTTTCGGGTGGCCCAAGAAGACAGGGCTGCTTTGAATATATATATTTTAGACACCTTCAGCTTCTCTTAAAAATGGAGCGGAGGCAGAAGGCCTGGGTGCTTCTTGCTGGGGTGGCCCGGCTCCTCCTGAAGAGATCTCTCTGCAGGCGGTAATTGCACAGCTTAATTCTTCTAGATGGAACCACTGCAGATTTATGCCAGTGAAAAGCAAACGTTGTTTGTAAGTCATTTAATTGTGTTACTGTCTCTCAACTTTATCAGATGCTGCTGAGGCAGACCAGGCTGTGTGCAGTCCTGTGGTTGTTCATTCTAAATGCCCACAGCTCAGAGTCCCCCCAGTGCTGTTCCTTCCAGACTCCTAACAAACTACTAATAAACAGGTTCAAATGGTATTTGTCTCAATCCAGGACCCATGCTGAAGGCTGCAACTCCAACAGATCCTTGGCCTTGATTGCAGAATCATTAACTAGGACACACTTAGACGCAAACCTGGTTTATTATGTTCTTTGGTTAAATATTGTTTCTACACTCCTCCAGAGCATTATAAGAACAAAGATAATGATATTTTATAGAAAGACTGAAAACACTTGCCTTTTCAGAGCAAAGAATGAATTTACATTGTTTGTGCACTATTATAAATTCTTATCATTAGGCCAGACTTATAAAAAGGTAGGGCTTTTGTTGTTTGTTTTTGAAAAATAGATTCCCCTGGCCTAGCCAACGTCACTGTCCTGGGAACCAGACACACAAGAGTCTCTTGATAAAGGCTGCTCGGCACACGGTCAGAGAAGTCGTGTCAGCTCATCATGTCCAGACTGCAGGCGTCGGTGCTGCCATCACTGCGCAGGACCTCTGCCACGTCCCTTCTGAAGACGGATAGGTTCTGGGTGAACCTGTGGAAAGAGGGAGAAAGGGCCGAGGGCAGTGGCAAGGCCAAGGCTGTAGGAGCGTCTGGATGGTCAAGTCAGGTGGCTGTGGAGTTCAGGACCTTGGAGAGGGCCCGAGATCCTGGCTGAGCACCTACCTTCCTCCCACGTTCACCACCACTACTGTTTGTCACCAGCACCCCTCTCAGAAAACAAGGGGTATCACCAAATACACTCTGACCATTTTGAGGGGTGCATTTTGTGGTTATTCTATTTAAAAATGGTTAAAACTCAAATTACACATAGATGGTAAGGAAAACAAAAGAACTGAAACTTATGTGCCAGGCAATGGGTTGAGTTTCCACATAAATTCATTTAGTCATCACAAGTCTTCCCAAAGGTAGATTTAATATTAGCATCCTCATTTCACAGATAAGAAAACTGAACTTAGTGGTTCAAAAGAGGCAGCCTGGGTTCGACCACCTGGGCTCCAATCACGGCTCCACCTCTGCTGAGCTGGGTGACCTTGGATGCACATTTAATGTCCTGTCTTCGTGCCCAATATGAGAAGCTGCCTCACGGCATTGTGGGAAATGAGAGATTATCGAGTGAATTGAGGCAGTGCCTGTAAGAGCCCGCCACAGTGCCTGGCAGGTGCAAAACACCAGTCCTTGCTGGCTAGCACTCTCTGGAAGCGAGGAGAGCTGTCTGACACCATTTCACAGCATGGCTCAGGAGGCGGCACTCAGATTCCCAAGGCTCAGGTGAAGCAATGTCCCCTGAGGCACCTAGGGTTGCCTCATTTAGTAAGTCTCTGGTGGCTTCGCAGGTTGCCCTTTCTGCTTGATAGGGGATCTTGGCATGGAATGAGCAGTCACGGGACCGTGTCCACAGAGCCCATCCGACTTGGCCTTGTATTAGCACAGCCCAGGCTGGTGACTCTACAAGAGCCTGAGGCTACTGAGATGACTGGTGATTTGCATTTCAAATGGTGCAGCATTTGGACACCACCACTTTTATAAAAGGTCGTTACAGGCAGTTGTTTTTCCAGAAAACGTTTTCTTTTTCCACCCTTCATTATTGTCTGTCTTCTTCATTAGACACTCCATGAGGGCAAAGCCTTGCACGGTTAGTTCACCACTGGTCTCCCCAGTGCCTGGCACATAGCAGATGCTCAACAAAACTTTGTGCACTGAATGAATGAATGAATTCAGGCATAGCTGGTAAGTTCAGATTCCTCGTATTGAGGTCTCACTGACAAAATACCAGTCTGTGTTCTTGTAAAACCAGGGACTCTTAAAGGTCAGGCAGAGGAAGTAATATTTACTGTGGGGCATATATCCTAGATACCATGCTTTACTACACTCTGCCATTTAAACATCACAACCAATTATCATCATCTCCGCTTTACTGGTGAGAAAAATGAGGATCAGAGAAGCGGCCTGCCTTACTCACTGCCACGCAGCCTATAAACAGCAGGGATACAGTTTAAATTTTATCTGACCTCGAAACCATCTGACCTGAAAACCTGTGCTGCTTCAAATGCCAGGAAGCCTTTCCTTGTCCTTCATAGAAGATCTGAGCTTTCTTTTTTGACCTTTTCACATCTCTCCTGTTGGATTATGAACTGCTTAAGGGCAAAGGCTGCATTTTATTTGTCTCTGCATCCCTATATAGTGCCAATACCTAGTCACATGTACTGGAGAGAACTAACCTGAGTCTAGGATTACAAGGCTTAACAGAAAAGCCACATCCACACGTGAGCTGTGTTAAGCACCATCCAGTTCTCTCTCGCAAACCCGGAGGATGCCCCTCCCTCAGAGATGCTCAGCCTCCTGGGCACTGCTCACCTGTCTCTGTTCTTGATGGACAGGTTCTGCTCTACTCCTTCCATCAGGTTCCCGAAGCACTGGGCAAGGACCTCCTGCTTGGGGAGAGGCTGGCTGTTTATCAGACTGGCCCTCAGTTCACCGAAATGCTGTTGGGAGACAGGACAAGCATCAGAGCTCTGACTCTGAACCTGGGCCTGAAGAAAGCCCTGGGGGAGGGGCTCTGAACTCTCAGAGGAGCTTTGGTCCAGGTCCACTTTGAACTGTAAGCCTTTAAAGAAAACTAAAGCAGCAGAGGCATTCCTAGGTATAAACTGTATTCACCTTTCTAACAGAAATCTCTTGCTGTAATTGTTCTTATCGTCCCTGAACAATGTAGGCTGGTTGAGTCCTTGCCACGTCTCTGGGACCGAGCCCATGGACGTCCTCCTGACTTTCATCTCCACTAATCACAGAAAGGCTGAAAGAGGAGGGCCTCCCAGGCTGAGGGGGAAGCGCTTGACTGAAAACGCCCAGGGAGCACTTCCGGCGGCTGCAGGCAAGGCCCAGGGTCCCGTCCTCTTCATCATTTTGTGAATACTCCTCAAATAACTCCAGGCTTTGTTCCAAGTCCCAGTCCTCCTGGGTTAGGATGGGTCTGCTGTGCTGAGGTGGGCACCAGAGGGCTTGCTTCAGTCTGAGAGAACTTTCTGGCACCAAGGACAATGTCTGTCATACCTGGTCACTGAGAGCCGCAAGCCCCTTCTCTGCTGGGTCTGTGGGCTTTTGTACAAACACAAGCTCTTAGGCTAAACACAGCTTCTAATCATTGGAAACAGCCTAATTTGAGCACAAAGACAACATTTTGCCAGTCATGCGTTTATCCTTCCAAGCCCGAACAGCATGATATTTAATTTCCATCATACATTAAAACAGCTCACATCAGAAACACACATAATTAATATGTAGTCAGACTAATACTTAAATACTATATATCAGAGGCATTAGACTGAAACCTCAGTGTCTTCCCGAACAAGACTGGGAATGCACAAAACTACTTATTTTTCCCTTTTATAATGATGCAGTGACTCACACCAAATAGAAAATTATTAGTTTTTCATCCCAAACCATGAAATATTGCCTCCATCAGTAAAGTATAATATTGTGATGTCATAAGCTTTTTCTAAACACTGAATTTGCCCTTATTCCTTCTCAATCATTTTAAAAGAACTGCTCTCTTTTATAGAGCTTGGATTTAAATCACAATAACACCGAGGGAAGACGAATGGCAGTGCTATTGAATGTGGCTAAAATTGGATACTTCAGCACAGGTGAATGATGAGACAGCTCTTCTCTTTTTGATATATTTTCTTCTTCTATTAGTTTCCTTCCAAGGCTGGGATTTCAGTTTGAATTTTAATGTATGCGGCTGCCTCTAATCTCACTGTCCTTTTCCCCAGTACTATCTTATTGTATAGACAATTCATTCTCCCAAGCAGTAATGCACTGTTCCTGCTGACTGCTGGGGAGACAGGGGTGGCTGACGGAGGAAGCCAGAGAGCTTGGGAGGCAGCCGAGTGCCGAGTGCACTTAAGGACTGGAGACTTGTGCTCCGGGACGAAGGGTGCTGGCTCTGTTTGGCCCTGAGGGGCTGCTGCTACCAGCAAGGAGCCCAGATTGAAAAGGAGGCCTAGGAAGGAGCAAAAAGGATATTGCTCAGAAGTCCCTTGGAACATGGGGGGCTGGAGCGGGGGAATGAGTGAGGGTGAGCTTGCAGCGCTGCTGAGCGAACCACCCGCCCAGTGTGTGGGGCGCTGGGTTTCAGAAGGGCTGGTCTTGAGACCTCTGCTTAACTGAAGATCTGAGGCTTTGGGGAAGGGCCTTCTGGGGGAATACGGCCTTGCCCCTGGGTGCGCAAGGTCCTGGCTGCAGCTCAGTGGCTCCTCTGTCCCTCCTGGCTTGGCCTGGTCTACAGTGTGTCCCTCTTCCCAGTGACCACCCCGCCGGGGACCTCCCTGCAATCACACCCACCTTCTCATTGAGCAGGACGAGCCCCAGGAGGGGCCTGGATACTGACCACTGGTTCCGGCAGTCTTCAAAGACAATGGTGTTCATGAGGACAGACATCATCTAGAAGACAATCACACGAAGACACTGATGTCCTGGCGCACAGCCCTCCCACCCAGGCCTTCGATGTCCCCACCGTCTATCTGCACATCTTCTCAACAGCCATGAGGGCTCTTCCTGGACAAACAGCTGTGACTCCAGGAGCCCATAATGCTGCCTGTAGGAATTCTCTGCAAAGCCTTCAATCTCCCTGAGGAAGAGCTTCTATCACCAAAAGCTTTGGGGAGAACCTTCTGGGTGGGCAGAAGTCAGAGGCAACAGAGCTCAGAAGATCAGTCCTGCCTCTCAGCCCTGACAGGCTTTCCTCTATCTGTGTCACCAGTCAAAACCCAGCTGGTCTTCTTCTCCACCTCTTATTTCACCAAAGAGGTCAAGTTATGGAGGAGTGGGACACAGTCCATGTAACCTTGGAATGTCCTGTTTCCTGCTGGCTCAGGCTGTGAAAGGCTTCTCATCAGCCTTCATTGACTCCCTCTCTCCCACCCTCCCTCCCTCCCGTGTGCACATACTCATCCATTCTCTTAAATTCAAAGTCTACAAGACACCTAGGGGAGGTAAGAGAACACGGGCATCTACTACAGCCTCTGCCCTCGAGGAGCTAGAAGCTTCCTGGAACAGACCACCCAGGAGGACAATGCAGGAACCAGGGCTAGTGGGCAGTGCTGTGTGCATGCACACAGTGTGCATGCAGTGGAGGGCGGGAGCTCCTGGATCCTGGAGGGGAGGTCAGGAAAGACTCCACAGAGGCGGCCATGTTTCAGGAGTTCATCAGAAATGTGTTCTATGCAGAGACTGCAGCAGAGGTGATGGAATGAACACAGTGGGTTCTGCAATGGTCAGGAACTCAGTGTGACAGGAGAGAAGTGAGGTGAACCCGAACAAGACCCCAGGGCCAGGTGAGAAGTCTGTGCTGGAGAATCTGGACTTCATCCTGATGGCAGTGGGAGCCAGTGGTGAGTTTGCAGCAAGAGAGAGACCATGCTCAGATGGGCACGTAGGAAACATCCCTCTGGGGACATGTGGAACATGTACTGTGCAGGTGACATTAACGGAGGGAGGCCAGGGATGAAGCTGCTGCAAATTCAGGCACGTGGTGGTGACGCAAGCTGCAGTCATCCTCGTGGAGCTGATGATACAATTTCTGCCCCTTGGACTCCGTCCCTCCCACCTCTAGCACTTGTTTTCACAGCTTCAGAGCTCCTGTCCTCAAGGAGGGTGAGGAAATGGCAATTATGTGGCAAAGACAGCCTCCAACAGCATCCCTGATTGGGCTTTGGTGACATGGGTTTCTTCCTCTGGCATATTTACCATCCAATGTACCCTGTGATCTCAGGCAAGTTACTGAACCTCTCTCTGTGTATGTCTCAGTTTCATTAGCGACAAAGAGGAAAATACTCATCCAGCACAAGGAAGCTCCGAGAATCAAATGAGATGGTGGATATAAAAAGTGCTGCGAGGAGTAGCAAGCGCTATAAACATTTAAGGTGTATAATAACAGCAGCAACGGGCTTCTTTGTAGCTCTATAAACATCTGCCATTGCATATATCATCATCATCATAACACTTAAGCTGGTTGCAAATGAAATCTGCCAATTCCATATTTACTGTATGTCCAGTCTCTCTGGGGAGCGGCTAGGTCGTAAGCGCGGCATGTTGAACATCATTTGCAGATCATGTGTTTCTGTATACAACCTAACAAGCCACCCAAAGTCACAGCCACAAATTAAATTGACAAGCAAAACTAACAGATCCACGGAGACAGTCTAAAATATTATGGGCTTCACAATGTGAAGGCAGAATGGATATTTTAATGGAAAAGATTAAAGTTAGAGGTACCGACTTCTCCAGTAACTGACAAAGCATCCTGAAGTGATGTGCCAATTACTTTATACGGTTCTCCCGTGGATTCATTTGTCTGAATGCATGTATTTATGTCCGTAATAAGTAAGGGGATGTTTGAATAAAATACTTTTCTAAAAATAAAGTTTGCTAAAACAGATGATTTTTTTCTTCTTTTTTACTCTTCCGGAAAGATGGAAATTAGTGAGCAAATCTGCTCAAATGGTATTGACATGGCAGCTCATTTGCAGAGTTCTTTTTTCTTATAATCCTAGAGTGTATGGGGGGAGACAGTTCAAACATGTGGCAAGTTCCTTTGGAGAAGCCCCCCCCCCCACTCCATGGAAGAAAACTGGGTGAAATGCTAAGTACAAGTCCTGTTCCAGAGGACATGAAATCTCTGGTGGAGGCTCTCTGTGGTGAAGGACGCCAACAAGTGAAGACTGAAAGGAGAGCCCTTAGCAACTCACCGGCCACCCCAGCCCCGCTGAGTCACAAGCACCACAGCCCCAACCTCTGCTCACGTCCCACGCTGTTACAGGGGTGGGTGGAAGGGCCATTTCCAACTTGCCCAGCCCAGACAGCATTTTCCAGGGCTTAGGTCCAAACACACACACATTCTCCATGTATTGTCTTACGCCGCTATGCTGCCCCACTGGGGTGGGGACTCCTTGGAAAGGGCAGTCATGTGGCTTGGTCCCTTTAGAAAAACCACACTCCGCACTGCCTCGGGCATGTCCCCATTCTCCTTCCTCCTTCCCACAGGCTTTGGCATGAGTTTGTAGGAAATTTCTCGCAATGAAGTGAAACCAATGTGGTGTGATAGGGGCAGGCTTTGGAGCCAGTCAGAGGCCAAACCTGGCCCTGCCACATATGTAACTTGGGAGGCTGGGTAGGCTGTTCACATCTCTGAGCCTTTATTTCCTTACATAGAAGATGGGGGATGGATGATAACACCTACTCTGAGGGGCTGCTGTGAGGACTAACTCTTCCCCAGGCCTCAGTTGTTACTAGTGTTCCTTTAACTCTGGTTACCGGCCCTGGCCTGGCCCAGTGGAGTCTCATGGCTCAAGGAAGTCACCAATTCAAGTGTTGATTATGTAGATAAATCAGATTATAGCTTCCTCACAATCATCTAAGTTCATTGAGAGTTGCAGTAAAAAAAAAAAAACAAACCTAAAATGGGAAGTTGTCCCCGAAGCATCCCTATTTGGTTTGGCATGTGTGTGGGTATGGATTTTGAATGACAGTGGCTCTGTTGTTCTGAAAACTTGTAATCTTCCACATAAAACATGAAGCTGCTCTACAAATACCTGACCTGGAAAATCACACAAAGCAATGTGCTGTGCATCTCTGCTCCCTGTTCGGCTCCTCTCCTATGCACCCACCCTAACATGGGATGGGCAGCACAAGCACGAAGCAAAGTGGACTTTCCGACCCAGATACGCTGGGCCACACTCTCCCTGCACAAGGTGCTAACTACAGGCTATCACTTCAGAAGCTTCCTGTTCTAGCTCCTGTTGACCCAGAATAAGCAAAGTTTGGTGTGTGCTGGGTGCTTTAGTGCAGGAGGGTGGGCATGTCCTCTCTGTAAGGAAGTGCAGGCTCAGCGGGTCTGGAAGTTGGGTTGAGCAGATGGCTGGAGAGAAGTAGCTTGAATACAGGGTGATGACCACAGTGGGTGGGGTAGAGGGCCTAGTCTGCAGACTTCTGGGGTCCTGGGACATGGGGGACTTTTCTCTGTATTCCCTGTGCCTAGCATGGCATCTAGGAACACATCAGAGGCTTAGGAAATAGCTACCGAATGAGAGAATGAAAAACAAACAGATAAATGAATAACCGGGAAAGGATGAGTGAAATATCAAGCACTCAAGTATAAAGAGCTGAAGAGCTGAGAGGGGATGGTACACAAAACAGAGGCGTTCTGGCTAAATCTATGGCTAAAACGTGAGATGGGTAAAATGTAAAGTCACACGCTGTTCATGTCCAAGGTTCCAGCTTGTTTTGTACAGAGCCTGAGAAGTCTTCTAAGCTACTACTGTCCCCCTACCAAGTAGCTCCCAGGAAGGGCCCTCGTGGGGGCTCCCAGGTCACAAAGGCCCAAGGCGAGGCACCAGCTTTTCTGATGGCACTTCCACCTGACAGGAAGCTGCGCCCGATGACTTTCCTCACTGCCAACAACAAAGCTACCACTTAGGGAGGGAGAGCCTCAGGCACGTGCGCACGCTGCCCCTACCCTCAGCTGCGCCTGAGGGAGATATGACCCCAATTTCACAGACTAAGGATCCCAGGACCTGAGCGAGTCACTGGCTCCAGGGGGCACAGCTGCCAGCCACCAGGTGTGAAGGGGAGCCAGGATATGTGCACAGAGCCGCCTGGGCCCAGAGGCCGTGCCTGTGCCCGTGTGCCAGCCTGCCTTCTGCTGCCCTTAGGCTGGTTGAGAGTGAGGTCCTGTCTGGCTCCTTCTGGACGACTGGTGGTGTGAGAGCACAGGGTCGTTCCTGGGCACGGCCCACCCTTCCACCTTCAGCGGGTCCCAGATACGCTGCCCGCATGCACGTCCTCTGTGCAGTCGCTCTGCCGCCTGCAGTCCCTGTGGTTAGAACCCAGGGTAGTGGTTCCCGGCGAGTTTGCAGCAGGCATCCTTGCCTCCTACCTAAAGCTTTTACAAATTTGGTGAACATCTTTGCAGCCTCTCCAGATGAACAGCAGTAGACATAATGAATTGATTGTCTCTGAAAAGTGGCCCATGGAACATTTTCCTAAAAATAATGGTTTCCCTCTCAAGAAAAGTGCCATGTACACAGCAATTTAACTTAGCATCATAGAAAACATTAGGAAATTACGCTGATTTCCTTTGAGGTATAATACTCCCTATAAAGTGAACACTTTTCATTGTTCATGTTCCTTAAGCATATTGAATAGTATAACTAAAAAACATTTCACAAACTTCTAAGAAATAGGTGAAAAAAATTCAAACTCCTCCCTGTTGTGCCCCATCTGTATCGGAAAGACAAAACTGACCCTGAAGTGATGATACGAACGCTGATCCTACAGGGATGAAACCCTCACTGTATTTAGGGAACTCTGGCTCTCCCTCTCTACCCCCGCCTCTCTGTTCAGGGTTGCATGACGTTTGAGTTATACTGCAACCCTGCTGCCTCCCCATCAGGGAACTGGAAAACGGGAACGGGGCTAGAGCAAGCTGTGAGGTGCTGAGGTGGTCAAGGAGGGCCTGAGGAGAAGGCTTCGGTTTAGACAAAGGCAGGACAGACCAAAGAAAAAGGCGAGACCAAAGGAAGGGTGTCCCTGTGCCCAGATCTAGATGGGGGTGGGGTGAGGAGAAAGACAAAGTGAGGAGAAGACAAAGCGAGGACAATCAAGGCTGTGCCCAAGAGGGCACGTCTGCAGAGTGGGGTGCCTTCATCGGTAAGGTGGGGGGCCTTCATGGGAAGAAGGGTAGGATACAAAATGATCTGTGCCTCTGGCCAAGCTAGATTGTCCTTGATTCTGACATAATGAGTTGGTGCTGTTTTGAGGAACAGCCAATAATAAACGCACCAAACACATGAGCGCTGCTTCTGAGCCTCGGGGACCCTTTGGCACATGGAACTGACCTTTCAGAAGGTCAGTGGGGGAGGAGGGGGGAGGCTGGCCCTCGCAACAACAACAACAAAACAAATCCAAAAAAACCAAAAAATGGATGGCCTGGGCGGTGCCTCTGGATCTGAAAACGCAGAGAAACCCTCTACCCATCTCTGCAGCAATTTCTCCAGAGCTCCAGGCCCCGGATGAGGATCCAGGATCTGGGAGGAATCTGTGCGCTGCCGAAAGACGCACAGCTTCCAGGTTCTCGGCTGTGGAAGCAAGGGAGCTGCCATCACTACCAAGCGTTTCTCCTTGGGCTCCGTGCGCAGCAGATACTGAAATGTGATCCTCCTCAAATTAGATATTAGTCATCTTTAGGGAGAAGGAATCAATTGTTCTCTCTGTCTGCTGTCTACTGATGTGGTATTCGTGGAATGTTATGAAAAATGAAAGTAATGGACAAATAACGCATATAAATTTCCCTACCCAGATTAGCTAAGCCCCACCATCTAAGTTACCTTAAATCTTTTCATGCCTGTACATATTAAGCACATTCTTACGTTCTTACATGTCTTCATAGCCTCATAATAGAAGCAAGTATGTGGCACTTTAAATGAAAAAAGAAATCAAATGAAATGCAAGATGAGGTGAGCGTCTTTTTTAGAGAAACAAGATTGCCATCAATTATGGGTGACCCATGCTCCTCCGGAAAACCACATGGACGTCCTGCCTACTTGGACTCTGCACAGTGCTAGCTTTGCAAACAAACAAACACACACACAACCTTCTTCCCAATAAAGGGACTGTGGGCTGCTTAACTCAGTTGGCCTTGACCGTATGTTTGCACCACACGCTCCACACCTGAACTCAAAGCACCCCCCCCCTCTCCACCCCTCCATGCAGAAAGGTAAGGGATGCTTTCTCCAGGTGATAAATGACCTAGAATATTCAAAAACTCTTCCATCCCTTGTAAAATCGGAGGCGATGCCCAACCTCGTTTTGCTGTTGTTTCAATTTTCTCCATTACCACCATTACCCCTAGTTCTCAAAACATTTATTTGAATCATAGTTTATTGAGGAAAGAATTACCTGCCAGTCTTCTGGTTTATGAGGAAGAAGATAAAGTTGGCATGAAACTTCAGGATTAATTAATTGAGAGTACTGCATGTAATGTGTCTATTCTGAATGGAACGGCGCACATCACAATGAAAACAGTTTTATTTTCCATGGTTGAAATAAATTATAATAAATAATTCATTTCAATGGCAGAGATGTACTGGAGAGCAACAGCACCAAAATTGACTACACTACACTGTGAGTCTCATTCTTGAATCTTCATTATCCATTTGAAACTTTTTACGGGTAGTAAATCATATTTCAAGTGGCTGCGGATCTCATAAAGCAGCTTGCTGCATTAAAATCAAACCAGACAACCTGGGGCACCGGGAGGCGCAGGGCTTGCCACTCAGCACTATTTGGGAAACTCACTCTCACTCTTCTCTTGCCGACATCAAACGGCATTTTTCAATCTGATGTAAAAACGAAGCATCGCTTGTCAAAAATATCATCTAA